GATAGGAGGGCGAGGGAAGGGGGAGAGGGATCATATCGAAGGGATGAAGATGAGATTACTGTCCCGGAAGGACCTGAGATCTTGCTTGGTGGTAGAAATTCGGATCAAGAGCGGGGTTTGCGGAGGCCAGTATTCCACGGCGTTTTTATACTCAGCATAAAGTAAAATATCGATCGAAAATCAGCGACTTTGAACAGGAAAACCCCAGATTGCCATCTAATTAAAAAACCCCGGTACCGCAATTTTCGCAACTCCTACCTGAACCCAAAAGCGAGTGCATTTTGCAACGAGTGAACCGGGGCGAATTTTAGTGGGTACTGGGTGTCGAATTTTAGCGCCAAGTCGAGGCGAATTTTAGCAGGACCGAATGCCGAATTTTAGTTAAGCCGGGGCGAACTTTAGTAGGGACCGGGTGTAGAGTTTTAGCCAAGTTAGGTTGAATTTTAGCAAGGAGTGCACGACGAATTTTAGTCGAACCAGGGCGAATTTTAGTAAGGGCCGGAAGTCGAATTTTAGTTGAGCCGGGGTGAATTTTAGTAGGGGGCGGGCGTCGAATTTTTGTGCTGCGACAAACTGATTGTTGTTGACTGGTATTGATGTCCCGCGGAGTCTTCGGGGGATGGGGTTCCCTGTTGACTAAATCTCCCTGCAAGGTGTTTTTGGGATTTACAGCGGATGAGACGGGCTGGAGGATATTGTGTTCCTTGCTCGCAAAATCCCTTCTCGGGCTCTCCGACGGGTGTAGGCCTAACAGTCAAGCGATTAGGCTTAAATATAGGCAAAAATTACCCGAGTCTTCAGGGTTGCGCCCTAGCCAATGGGTACTGCTACCCGTAATATCACTAACATGGGATACACACACTGACCCTTACACAGACAGTAAGTCACCTTACCACGTTCCTCGATTGTAAAGTTGTGAACGTTCAACACACACACACACACACACATTAGCGATAACTCGAAACTCCCGGAAACCTTGCCAGTGCGCTTTTGTCGAGAAAATCGCTGCTGAGGTGCTGCTGATCCCTTTCCAGACAAGACACACAAACGTCGAAATGGTCAGCAAGCAAACTGACCACTGGGAGACTTGGCATTGGCCAGTTACCAGCAGCGGGGAAAGTTACCCGGATTTCTACCCTTTAAAAAAGCAGCTGATTCGGGTAATCCATTCAATTAACAGCATTTTCAGGAACCACTTGGTGCAATGAGTTCACGTGATTCTCATTCGGTGCAGCAAGCACGTGGCGTAGTGGAGCAGTTACGTCGTGAGCGTAACATACGTCGTAGTGCAATCTCCCAGACAGCCAACGACTTGATACGGTAAATGCATAAATTTTTGCTTTTTTTTAGATTTTTTTAATATTTTTTTCCCACTTATGACCTCCTTCGCAGACATTGTATGTTAAAATTGCGAAATTCCCATTGCGCTGATCTTAAATACAATGAGTTTTTGCTGTGCTTTCGTGTCTTTTGTAATTCGCTTCTTATTTTCCAAGAGTATGACATGTACGTGTGTATGTGTGTGTGTGTGTATGTGTGTATGTGTATGTATGTATGCGTGTGTTTGTATGTATGTATGTATGTATGTATGTGCATATGTATTT